TAGCCGTCTAAAGCCGTATATCGAATTATTCGTAGAGGCCGAAAATATATTATAGTTCCTACCTAGTAAAGAGAATTAGTAGAAGATTAAGTACCTTATTAATATTACGATCCTCTTTGCCTCTATTACTACTACTATCGGTACTAATAAGGGCCCTACCCTTTATCTAGTAATCGGCTATTACGAGACTCTTTTCGATACGATCGATACTACCTTACTTAAACTCGAGAGAAAATTAAAGAGCTAGAAGTCTCTACTAGTAAAAGCGCTTATAGCTACGTAATAAATACTAAAGTACTACTACTCCTAGACTTTCTCTATATTCGGCGATCTTTATAGTATAGCGATTTTACTTTACCTAGTAGTAAAGAATTTAATATAGAAACGAGAGTACTTTCGTAATAAGGGTTATAAGTACGAGTATTAGTAGAAGCTACGTACGCTTTAGAAGAGCCGCTATAAGCCTATAGACAGCTCCTTTATAACTCCTACCTATATTAGTAAGGTTTCGAAATCTATATACTTAGCTCTAGGCTATACTAGAAGTACTTATTTTATAAACGACGTAATAGTAGGTATAGATCGAGATAAACTTTAATAATACTTCGATATAGGTACGTAGTCTTCTACGAGCTATTAGCTTATATTATCGATATATACTTAATAGAATCTAGTATTCCTTCGGCTTTAGTATCGCTTATAAGGTCTCTCTAATATTATCGGCTAATATTATTAGCTAATATTATCGGTAAGCCTTACCTACGTAGGCCCCTGTCGCCTCTTTACTACTATTATCTTTATACTAATTCGGTCCCTAGATTTTACTTTACTTAGTAATAAAGAGGCGCTCTATATCTAGAAAGATATCTATACTTAGTTTCTCTCGGTTACGTAGGTAGCCTACGATATACTCTATATCCTAGCTATAGGCTTAGGATACGAACGTAACTTTAGTATAGCGCGTTACTCGTTACTCTATAATCGGTAATATAGGCTAGAGACGTTTAGTAATATTATAGTTACGAAGAGTAGAATACTATCGCGTAATAATCGTCTTAACCTACGTTCTCTATCTATTTAAGCTAAAGTATAAGCCGAGGATCTCCTAGTACCTATAGAAGCTCCCTTCGAGTTTATAGAATCGGGATCTATAGAGAGATATCTCCGAACCCTAAACTCGGAACCGTCTTCCCGCGGCCTAAATAGTTAAATTTATAACGACATTTATACGGAGCTAGACTGTATAGAGAATTAGGAAAACATAATCGTAATTAGCGATAAAGAGGAGGAGGAGACTACTACCTAGAAACGTTATCGCTCCTTAAAGGGGCACGTCGGTACCGGTACCGATCGTCGCGATTCGACGCTTATCGGGAAAAGGAACCGTAATATAGTATTACCCTCGCCGGAGACAGATTTAACTCCGGAAGACGAGTCTTAGATACTCTAGTTAAAGAGAAGGAAGAAATCTACTATAGGACCTAGTACCTATCGACCGTAGCTAGTACCTACGATACGAGCTTAACTAGGTATATAGATCGATTAGCTATCGGAGACTTAAGCGTCCCGACGTCGAAGCCGCTTATCGGCTACTCCGTAGTAGATAGCGGGTAATCCTTTTAAAATTTCGAGCCGCGATAATTTAACGGAGTTCGAAGACATAGAACCGCCGGCTCTATCGCCTTCGGCTATACTACCGTAGGCCGAACACGACCCTAAAAGGCTAAGATCTCCCGCTAAAGACGATGCCTAGCTTTAACGTTCTAGGTTACGTAAATCTCCGGCTCCTAGTTCTAAGAAGGCTTCTTCGATAGAGGGTCGATCCTCGGTATCCGACAATCGGACGAGTAAAGTACGCTCGTTACCTAGACATTAAATTTAAGACTAAACTTCCTCGTAGAAGAGACCTACTAAGTTACAACTAGTTACTACTAGATCTTTAGCTTCTACGTAGCCCTAGGCCGGTTCGAGTAGTTAGGACAGTAGGGGCGTCAAAATAATAGATAGTGTTATTAAAAAACGTAGACGATAGATAGTATAGAGATAGAAACTAGGAACATAACTTTATATATACCGATAACATTTACCGATAACATATATACGTTACTTAAAGCGTAGACCCTACGCTCTTTACGTAAGATACCTTTAGAACTTGTAGTATATATTATAGGTACCTTAAGCATTTTTCGAGGTACCTACTAAGCTTTACTAGCTTTTTTACTACCTGTTAGTACTAGTTAGTATCGGTAGCCTAGGTTTCTACTAGACCTATACCTAGTTTACCTAGTCGCTAAGAATTACCTAACCTAACCCTATACTACCTAGGTATACCTATACTATTAGTAACGTCTACTTACTACTAAGGGAAGATTATATCGTCGTTATAATTTATTAAGATAGAAGAGCTAGTAGATATAAGCGGTTAGTAAGTACTAATATAGGTACTAGAAACTTAGCCTATTATACTATACGCGAGTAGTAGGATATATACTAGTATAAGATATTTATAGTATAGAGAGAATATTATCGTATCGAGGTTCAGAGGAAGAATAAGAAGTAATTACTACTACTAATAAAGCCGAGGTAGTAATAGTTAGTAGCGATTAGTATTAAATTAGGTTCGGAAACTTAGCCTAATATCTATCGTATAGTTAACTATACGATCGTTAGTAGTTATCTACTACTAGAGTAGCTACTAAAGTAGTATCGCTACTAATAAAAAAGGTAGAAGTCTTTATTATCGAGCTATAGAAAAAGAAGGAGACCTTAGACGCTAATACTACCGATATCCGCTACTACTACTATTACTACGCTTAAGGTAACTAGATCCTATATCTAGACTCTAGTCTATTAATAACTAGGCCTATCTAGTAATAGCTAGTCCTATCTAGGCGATAAGACATATTAGTAGTAGTAGCGGTAGAGTAGAGTTAGCGATAGTAAGGTTAGTAGTAGCGGAGATATAAGAGAAGATAAAGATAGTAGAGGTACTAAAGGAGTATTAGGCGTAGAGTTAGAGTAAGGGAAGAGGAAGTAGGAAGCGTAAGATAGTAGAAGACTCGAGTATAAAGAGAAGGTTACGTAAGACTACGTTATTATCGTCCTCTAGATAGAGTTATATTCGTAGGTAGAAGCGATATAGTAAGGACTATAGCCCGAAGCTAAGCGCTACGTCGAGCCGAGTAACTTACCTCTACGTTACGTAGGAAGGTACGCTATACCTACGGCTATTATTAAGTTATACTATATTACTTTCGACTATCTATAAATATACTCTATATATATCTCCGGATACGTTTAACGCTAGTAGTTATAGTTAAGTACCTTAGGTATTATTATAGACGTTTACTAAGTTATATAGGAGCTCTTAGAAAGATAGGTAGGTAGCGAATAGTAACGTATATAGGTTATCTATATTAATTCTTATACTTTCTCGAGACCTTAGTCCTACTTACCTAACGCTAATAAAGTAGTAAACGCGCCTCGTACTCTCTCCTTCCTAAGGACGTAAGGTTAAGGTTATCTTATAAGTTATATACTACTAATAAAGCTAAGCTAACCTCTATCCTTCTAGCTCTAACTAATCGCCGAAATTAACTCTTATCTACTACTCGATCTTATAATACTACCGGAGTACTCGTCCTACGCCTACTAGAAGTATAACGTATAAGTAATACGTTCCTATATATTTATTTCTAATAAAAGTCTATAGAAATTTCTACTATATATATTCGTCTCTCTAGAGAAAAGCGACCCTAGTTAGACCCTTTAAGCTAGCGTACTCTTAAATGCCGAGCATCTAGTAGATTCTAGCTAGAATCTACTACCCCTTATTTATAAGTCTTTAAGCTCGAATAGCCTAACTGTCTCTTACGTCTTATAATTAAGCCGTCTCGGTTACTACTCTCTATTATATAAGCGTACTTATATATAGGACGTTCCCGCGAGAGAGCCGCTATCGGTAGCTTCCTACCGATACCCGGGCCGAGCTACGTCGTAGTTCTTAGGTTAAAGCTACGAACGCGGAGTGCGGGGCCGGCCCGCAGCCAAGCTTCTCTATCTCTATAGAGCCTTCTCCGCACAAATCGATGTCCCATAACAATATTGACACGCCACGTTATGACACTACCCCCTCTTGGCAACAAAGGCATTGACGACCAGCTCCCCAATGACGAAGGTATTGACGACAAAGGTATCGAGGACAAAGGTATTGACGACAAAGGCATTAACGATGAGATATCTGACGCCGAACGCATTGACGATGAGAATGCATTCGGCGTTCGCATGCGCGGTGAATGGCCTCGCCGGTGCCATGCTTGCTGAAGCGGCAGTGAAGCCATTTCGACCAACACAATCTTCTTGTTCGCGCTGTCTCTTTGTCAGACAATAGCCTTGTTGCTTCGCATGCCCCACTCACATTTCTTTGTTGCTTCTCCAGGATTTCTTTGTTACGTCTTAGACACAGAACTTCACGCTTGCTCCGCCCGGGCGCAATATAATATGGGGCCCACGCCTCTTGTGCTTCATCTTTCCTTCTTCCACCATTTGCTGCATACATTCATCCGAATCCTTTGCTACAGACACGACACTCCTTCCGCAGCAAAGAACTCAATCTCCCGGCCTTCTCGCATCCACAGACCTGCACCATCCAACCCCACATTCGCCACACGCCGTTTGTGCAGCACACAACCTCCCCCTTTCCCGGCGACATGAACTCCTCCAACGCTCCCGAACACAACGCCGGACTGGATCCGAAGGAGCGGCGCCGCTTGCACGACACCATCGCCGCTATGAGCCCGCAGATGGAAGAGGTTCTACAGCGCAACCAACAGCGCGCGTTCCAGAAGAAGCGCCGCACCATCTGGCAGACCGCAAGCCTTGTTTGGCAGGACTTCTACGGCTGGTGCCTTGACCAATGCATTTCGACCTTGGCCTTCCTCCACGCCCTGGGCACGAACCGTTGGATCCGCGCGTTCCTGTCGCTCCCCCTCCTGGCCATTGCCGTCCTCGCACTCTCCTACTTCTGGTTTCCATGGCCTCATTTTCAGCGTCATCAATCTCCACCCGACATTACTCAGATGGTGCTCGAAACGGTGCGCAACATGTCTGCCTTCCAACCACGACTCTCCTCTACCAGCCACCAACTCGCTCACCTGAGTGTCGATGTGGGAGATCTATTGCACGACATTCGCGACGGACCAGCTCTGTTCAACCGTGACCAGATTATCATCAAACTCCAGGAGACTCCAGACCTGCTGAACAGCACCTCGCAGGGCGTGCTAGCGTTCGAACCTGTGCTCGGCCTCTTCATTCGGCAGAACTATGCCCTGGCTCAGGATCTCAGCACCCAGGCTGACGCTCTCATCGCACGACATCAGGATGTTAGCGAGCTGGAGAGCCTGTTGTGGTATGTTATTCTACCCTGCCTCATTCCTCTTCCCTTAGAGGAAGACGAACTCTACCCTCCCATGATTGGAGAGTAGACAGACGAGCTTCTTCTCCTCCTTGCTGACATTCTCAACCACAAAGGCGTATGCTGAACGGCAACATCCCCTACCTGTACGAGCTGTCGGACGAACACCAGCTCGTGGAGAACACTGTCTTCTTTCTGCACGCTTTCCTTAACGCCACCATCCAACACTACAGCACCGCCTTTTCCATCTACACTAATACCAGTACAGCTGCCATCCACCTCGCCGGCGTCTTCACTCTCCTCGAAGACAGCGAATCCCAATACAACCGCGCCTGCCGCCTCCCAACAGCCCTACCGCCCTGCAACTTTTTCCTCTCTTTCTTCTACCTCGCCTGTCCAAGACGACCCACCACGCCCTTGGTATCCGAATGCCACCTCTCCGGCCCTCCACCCTCCTACCGCAAACGCCTCTCCACCTTGCTCGCCCGTCTCCAATCCCCCGCCCTCCTCCTGGGACAAATGCACTCGCATTATCACAGCGTCCAGCAGAATCTCCGCGGCTTGAACCTGTCCGCCACGGGTTTCATGGAGCAGGCCGTGGAGAATTCGAAGAAGAGTCGGAGGCAGAGGAAGACTTTCCTTAAGGGCAAGTCTGGGATTCTGGGTGCTGCTGAAGAGGTGAGGGAGGGATTGGAGCGCCTGGTAGAGTTGAAGAGACAGGAGGAGAGGGAGATGAAGACGAAGAGGGATATGCCGAAAGAGTTGATGGGGTAAGAGCAATGTTGGGAAGGGAAGAGAGATGGGTTCCTTATGGATTGTATAATATTGGGATTGATATTGGAATAATGGGATCACACTGGACTTCAGAACAATGTTCGAGGCTTTGTTCTACGTAAGATAGATGACTGGAGATACAGCAATCGAGGTGAGACTGAATGTAATGAAACTGCTTTTTCCCTGGGCATATGACATGATTGCTTGACCTTGATAGTAGTTCCGGTACCTAACCCTTTCCTACTACCACTGTCCTCGAGCCCGACTTCTTCGCGGCGCCGGCGACTTTATTTAGCAGCAGTCCGAGTGAATCCAATTGATTGATTGTGGCGATAGTTGACGAAGAGGAGAACCGGTCGATGCCGGGTAAGAGTCTGTTAGTAGGTGCGTGCGTGGTGTCGTGCTCCGTCGAAGTCTCGGAGATGTGCGAAGAATTAGAGTGTTGGTAGCAGCTTCGAGGTGGTTTGGTTATCCTTTCAGAGGTCTACCAACTTTGTGGGGGACGTGGAATATTGTAGCCTGTCCTCGCAGCTTGCCGCAGACAGCAGAGAGCACATTGTGCTTTGCTTGGCACGGTATCAAAAGACACTGTGCTTTCCTCCTCCGCTAGTAAGACATGCCTCGGTAGTGCTGCTTGAGGCAAGAAGGGAGCACATTGTGCTTTTCTTAGCGGATTCCATGAACGCTAAAATTCATGAAAGCAAGCATCCTTCCTAAGGTCTTCGAGTATGGGAGGTACCGTAGCTGCTACCGGAACGAGGGAAAGCTTTGTAGCTACTGACTCCTCCGCACAGGTCAGATCAGTGAAGATGTGCATATGTTCGCTAAGGAAGGAAGCACATGGTGCTTTCATTAAATCTTGGAAGGGCATACGGTGCTTCCCTCTACTTCGGATGGATCGGTGAGTGCGTACACATCTTTGCCCGTGCTGCCTGAGGAAAGGAGCACATGGTGCCTTTCTTAGCGCAATTTTGGGGAGCACCGAGAACACTCCTCCAACAATTGGGCCCGGACGACGACGACGGGAGAAGAGCAGGGAGCAGAGCTTGAATCGCTTCGCTGCTTCAATTGGAATGAATGGTGACGATGAGTACTGAGATGTCTGTTATACGTAACTTGATTCATGACCACCTTTCCATCCTGGTGAGAAAATGCCTGAATTCATCACTCCCTGGTCCGGTGATTGGTATGCTACCACCAATCTCCCAAACACTCAATTGCTTCTTCTCCACACTTGATCCAATGCTTACCTCGCCTCACCTCGAAACCTCAAATTCCCAATCCTCCACCGCTGTGCCAATTGGGCTCTTACTTGCCCCCACTGCTGCCCTTGTTCTGCGCCATCAGACGAGGACATGTCTTCTCGCGTTCAAAATACCCGTTCACATGCTCCTCACATCGCCATGCCCAGACACCTCCCTTGGACAGAGGATTCTCCAGCCCATCACTACCCTCGCCCTGTCGACTGCCGCCGCGACGCCATCGCGGATCCCACATCTCGTCGGCGGCATCCATCGTACGCCGGAGAGCGTCGAGGCTTCTGAGCTCTGGACGAAGATCGCTGTCCTGAAAATGAAGAACCTTCCAATCCGTCTCCGACTCCATTTCCCGTCTCAACTGTAGCTGCCGACCCTTCGTGGCCTGCGACCAAGTCAACAGGCCCTCAATGTACCCTTCGTACACCACAGCCGTCACAAAGCTGAGCCGGAGATGCTGCCGTCTCTGACCATCATCGCCAACGTCATCCTCATACTGATCGCTCTTGCTCCTGCCCAACAACTCGCCTTCCAGCGTTTCCCTCCATGCTCGCACCGAGTGGAACAGTGGTGTCAGATGCTCTTTCTCCCATCTTACCAAGCCCAATCCCATATCCGTCGAATCCTGGAGGACGGCGCGGTAGAAGCCCAAGATATCCTGGCGCAGAGCATGATATGCTTCCATGTGGGAGTCCGCTGCGAGGCGACATCCCAACCACGTCGCAAAAAGTCGAGGGAGATTGCGCACTCCTTGCAATCTGAATGGAGATGGCGTGGCGAGGCAAACCTCCAACCGCGTGACTTGCTCCAACTCGTACTCAAGCCGCGGCCGACGTACTCTCCACGAGTGAGCGCTATACGCGCTCGAGTGGTTGGAGTAGAGCTGCACAAAGTAGAGCTGCGCCGCCAGAGAGGCTTCTTGTGGTGTTTGAACGGGTTGTTGTTGCGCCCCTTGCTCTGCATGCTTTGCTCCCCATTTGTGTTCAACCTCTTTCATGCTGCTCCACGACGGAGCCAGGTAAGACTTCTTCGCGATGTTTGACAGCTCCTCCATGGCCGGGCACGAGGCTCGGAAGTCGGTACATTCGGTTGTGAGGCGCTGTGTGAAGTTCAGCGCGAGAGGCTGTAGAGGACAAATGGCGGTTTGGACGGAATGTGGAGCTGTTGAGGAGGGCTGCAGAATGCCGGCGCCGATGACGAGGAAGACGCTGGCGACGAGCGAGGCGAGAATGCTGTACTGGCGGCGCCGTCGCTCTTCCGGGTGGAGGGTACACCAGAAGAGCGCGGCGATGTTGATGACTGCGATAAGGAGAGGTCCAGCGAGGAGGCTGGCGAAGGTGCGCCGCATGGCAAGATCGTCGTTGTCGTCCATGGTCATGAGAACTGGGCACGAACGATATGTCAGGTTTGTCCTTGGAGGAAGGAAGCGGTTTGTTATGGTGACACGAGATGCAGCACATTCCTTGCCTCAGTTGCCTGGTGGACTGAACAAACGGACCCTTCGGGAGAGGCAAGGCGAAGCGCACCTCTTCGACAACCCTTTCTTTGTTACTGAGCCTGCGCTGCACTGCATTGTGTATCTTCTGTCCCTTTTCTCTCTCCACAACACCACTCATTTGATTACCGCTATCAACGGAACACCACCACCACCGTCGGCGCAATCCGAATTTCCAACAGCCGCTGTCTCCAAGCCATGCCACCACGCGTACAGCCGCCACGCGCACAACCTTCGCGCAACAACAACACGTGGCTACGCCTACTGCACGACCCTATCACCATCTCTTTCCCCGGCGCTTTACTGCTCATTCTCGCGCTGTTCAGCGCCTGGGTGCTGTGGCTGACGTACTCGGCGGGATACTCGGGTAAGTTGCTGTCTGTTAGGAGGATCGGCGGAGAGCGGGACTGACTCGACTCGATTCAGCGGGATGGCGCGCGATGGACCGTACATACTGGCCAGATGCATGAGCTGAGGAGGCAAGAGTGCATATCCGGATGCATGCAAGAAAGAGTGTATGTGATTGTGGTGTGCTCTCCGTGCGCGCGACTGTTGAAGAGCTTGGTCAGATTGCGACCGGAGGTGGTCAGTGCGGCGACTGCGAACCAAAGCTTCGGCACGAGTAACTTGGAGGGCAACTCGAGAACAAGAACTTGTATATGTATAAGATTCTGAACAGATGAACACAAGGACAATTGATGTACCAGTTAGTACAGCAACATTAGTCGCGCCTTTGACGCTGCAGAGGGTTCGAGGCCGTGATGTCTTCAATGACGTCGACGGTCGCGCGCGTGACCGACGGTCTCTTCGGAGATGAAACTTATTCCAATCGAATGTGTAAGCATTATATGTACTGTAAGCAGACTTTGAGAAATCTACGACCCTTTAACAAGACGGACGATCTCCGAGCAAGTATTGAGTGTAAGAAAGGGAAGAGAAGAGGTGGCCTGGTGTGAAAAAGAGGCCGCCGAGGTGCTGGGCACTGCTAAGAGAAGCACCATGTGCCTCGTAAAGCTCCAGGTGCATCCGCTTGTAGCACCGGAGGAGAACGTCTACATCGCAGCATTGACAGAGACGAGAGCAGCTCGAATATCTAAGTCACTACCGAGAGCCATCTGCGGGCGGGGAGAGGAAGATTTCCTTTATATGGAAAGAAAAAGAATGCTAAGCACTGCCAAGAAAAGCACCATGTGCTTTTCAGGCGGGGTAAAGCGGGAGGTGGCCACCGGCTCCCACCCTTCGGTAAACCAACAGTAGGGCACAGGCACGTACTCTTCGCGTCCCTCTTTCGTGCACCTTATATCTTTTTCCTAACGACTGAACGTCAACGCTGTCTGGAGAGGCTTACCGCACAAGAAGTGTCGCGGCCTCCTACGCGCAGCTTCATCCTGTCGCGCTTTGCCTCTTCCGGCGCCGGCCCGCGTCCCGCTCCGCTCCTTGGCAGCAGTATCATCTGCCAGATCTCTCGCTGTGTCTCGCGTAAATCCATTAACGTGTCAACATTTCCACCACTCTCGCTGCTGCCATCTTCAGCCTACATTCATCAATATCGATAAACCGTCGCTCGCCTTCGCAGCATGGCTGCAAGCACTCATTCTGTGCCGCCGGCCTCGTCTGCCCTTCCTGTTATCCAGGTACAAGATGAGTGAAGAAACCGTCACAAACGTGTACTATATACTGCCTGGACTGTACAAGATCTGCCTTCGTCCCCTTCCTTCCCCTCAGCGATTTACTGTACTCACATCCAGCGCTTACACCAGTTCTACGGCCTCACCGATCTCACGTCCGCCGCCCGCCCTCTCTCCCGCAACAGCGCTCTCACACGAGTCGACAGCAGTCCCGACCTCCCAGTCCTCGCACGTTGGCAGACTGTGCGCCTCGAAGAGGTCTTCTCCAGCTTTCCGATTCCGCAACATCAAACTTCTGCCCTCGTGAGGCCTCACGGCCAGCTTTCCGCTTTCGCCGTCGGGTTGCTGACTCTTGCAGCCTGGCCATGGCATGAACAGTTGGGAGAGGATCGGGTAAGAGCACTGCAGATGGAGATGGTAGCGCAGTGGCTGCGAGAGCCCTACACCGGAGCAGAGTGTGAAGAACCTGCGGGAATAGGAAAAGTGGATTCTCTGGTGCACCTTGGGAGGGACTGGCGCCGTCCTTCGGAAGATTCTGGCCAACAGCAGCTCCGTGGGAGCGTCTCGCAGCAAGGTGGGACAATGAATGGGACGATAGAGCATACTGGGGTGGGTCGTGCTCGTTCACAGCGAGGTGCCGGGAGCAGCAGTGAGTTGACTGAGATGGGCCGCGGTCTTTCGCAGCGAGGTGCCGGGAGCAGCAGTGACTTGGGTCTGCGAGAAACCGAGAGAGAGCAGCCAGGTCATATGCAAGAGATGAGTGAGGTTGGCTACAACGGAAATCGATCTCTGCTGCAACAGGGACGACCTGCACAACGCATCTTCTTTCCGTACACGAATGCAGCGGCTGCCAGGCCTCACAATCCGGTTCCACAACCTCTGTCAAGTCAACATGGTACCCAGTCGAGTTCTTTCCCTTTGCAATCGGCAACAATACAACGCAATCACGAGGAACGAGGTCCCCGTTACTACGCTTTGGCTGACTTTGACGGAGACGGAGCGAAGATCACGCTGCGGCGCGGGGAGCGGTATGTGCGGTTAAGAGAGGCCAGTGGTATGTCTGAAGCCGATTCACTACTGAATTACCACCCACAAACTTTTCTGCGCCGACGAGCTTACTTTGGCAAATACAGGGTGGTGGAGTGTTCTGCGCCTTCGCGACAACGCGACGGGATGGGCGTCGCCGCATCTGCTTGCCCTCGTGCAGGAGGACGTGGATATCTCGGGCGACGAGAGAAGCTCGTCGGAGGAAGGTGACCGCGATCACGATGACAACGACCATGGTGCAAGAAGCTCTTCCTCTTCGCCCGCCTCTCAGATCCAGGCACGGGATTCTTCCAATCCGAGTCAAGGCAGCTCCTCTAACGCGCATCGTGGCCTTCGTTCGCTGATCCTTCCTTCGAATCAGCGTGCTGGGCAACAGAACTTCTCGCCGCCACTCCCTCCTCGCCTCCCCACTTCTGCTCAAGGAGATCGGCAGGGTCGCCGTTCGATGCAACGAGTACGGAGATCAACTGGAAGCCGAGATCTACGAAGCATGGCCGCGGCCACGGAAGGCGAGTGGGACTCGGGAGAAGAAGTCGAGTATCCCGCCCTGCCTTCGTATTTTCCCTAGATTAACATACTACTTACTACGTATCGTGTCTTACTACACGTCCGACCGGTATCACTTGTCCGTCCCCGAGCGATTCCGGGCGTCGTCCGAGTGTAGGGTAGGCTAAATTCCCTATTACTACGGCGGTAGAGAGACTACTACGAGTAGAGAATCTAGTAGTCCGGTCGTAGGTAGCGGAAGTAGTAAGTACGTTACGGAACCGTATAAGTAATTGCTTCTAGCTACCTCTAATTCTACTATAGGCGGCTAGAGCGACTAGCGTAGCTAGGGTAGCTACTAGTATATTATTCTACCTAGTAGAATTACTAGACTAGTAGTAGAATTAGAAGTAGTTAGAGACAATTATTTAGGAATAGATCTAGTCTACTATAGTACTTTAAGATATATAGTTACTTAGTATATACTTCTTAGATCTTAGTAGTTATACTAAATATTACGAAATAGTAGTAGCTAGCCTACTCTATAAAGGAAGAGCCGGCTACCTACTAGCTAGTAGGCTATATCTCTATAGAAGCTAGTATAGATAGCTTAACTAATAGATATATATAGACTATATTACCTTACTAACTAGTATATAATAATCTAGTAGCTAAGATTAGCTCGATCGTTCGCTATCTAGCTAATAACGAACCTATTCTACTAAGCTACTCTAGTAATATACTAGAATCGTAATAGCGAATCCGAAAACTTATATTAGTAAAGATACTATATAGTAATAAGACTTCTAATAACTAGCTAGTACGTTCTCGAGCTCTATATAGTAGAGTACTATACTATCTATCTTATCTTACTTTATCCTTAGTAGCGACTCGCCTACCTATTAGCCTATTAGTAGTATCTAGGCCTACTTATATAATATTCTTCTCTTTAGGATTATTAATATTAACTAGCGCTTCTACTAGCTATAAAGTCGGAAGCGATAGGCTAGGTATTAATACTTATTAGATATTCCGTAATCCTAATATACTCTTCTTACTCTACTATACTATAATATTCTATAACCTTAATACTTATTAGATATTCTATAACTCTAGTATACCTAATACTCTAGCTACTATTTCTACGAATCTTACTACTAATACTAGTCTACTTATTTAACGCTAAATCCGCTAATACTCTATTAGCTAACCCTAACTACTAACCTAGCGCCTATTATACTACTTAATAATAACTATAACCTTCCTTTACTACTACTAGAAGTATTACTAATAGTAGAGTATCTCTACTACTACCTTACTAACCTATATAGAGTAGCTAAGTTTAATAAGAAGTATAAGAAGACGTACCTACTAGTTACCTTTATAAGGCTTAACTACCTATTAATACTTAATGTCTCTAAGATACTAGAATTCTATCTACGCTATAAGTAGCTTTACTTAGAAGTACTACTACCCGAGCTATATAGTTTTCCTTAATAGTAGTCGGTCGACGTATCTAGCCTAACGCTCGCTATAAACGTACTAAAGAAGGCTACTCTACTCTTCCTAGGTAATTACTACTACTAAGAGTACTCTAAGCGCTAACTTATAGTAAAGAAAAGGACTAAAAGCCTCTATACTCGAGCTATTAGCGATAGTACTCTTACTAGCTCTACTACTATCTTAGGACTTCCTAAGAACTCTAACGCTCTACGTCTAACTATACTAGCGCTATAGATCTATAGTACGAGCGAGCGCTACTAGTCTACTAATATATTCGCTATACCTTTAGTATTAAATAGCCCTACTTCTCTAGAGACTATAGTAACGACTCTTAAAAACCTATAGGAAGACTTTAACCGATAGCCTACTCTACTATACTAATAGCCTTCTAGCCTAGCTATTAGCTTATCTTTTCGAGAGATACTAAGTATACTCCCTTTAACTATATAGCCTAAATCCTTCTACTAAGCTACCTAGTATATATAAGGATAGGAAGTATAGATAATAGCGCGCCTAGTAGTAGCTACCCGAGACGACGTTACCTATACCTAGAGATAGAGAGAAGGAGAGTCTATCTAATAATATATAGAATAGGTAGGTCTAGAAATAGATAAAGCCGCTCTTAACTTTATAGTTAGTAAAGTTAACTAGGCTACTCTTAAAGCTAGTAAGAGAGCTAGTATCGCTAGGGACTACTATAACTCTAGATATACTAATAGCTCGTACTATAGTAGTAGAGAGTATCGATAGAGAGAGAAGATATTTCTACCGAGTTATTACTTCTATAGAGATAAGATACTACTACTAGGTCGCTACTAGTAGTAAGAGAATAGTAATCGTTATCCTTACGCTATACGCTAGTATTACTATAATTATTATAATTAGAGAGTATAAGATTAGAGATACTATTACTATTAGAATAATAGCTCTTCTAATAATCTCTCGGATAATAATAATTACTATCCGAGGCCTTTACGTCGATTAGAGAGACTACGCTACTATAAGAAGCCTACTTACTATTACTATCGTAATCGTTCTCTATCTTTACCTAGTAGTTCTAGTAACTACTCCGAAGATAACTATAACTATAACTATAACTATTATTACGATAGACGCTAACGTAATAAGTATAGAGATAAGATACTATACTCTAGGTACTAATAGTACGACCTATATAGCCTAGACGCCTTTTTAGATAGTAAGTGTAATAGAGTCTACTATAGTACTAGGATCTACTTCGACTCTAACTAGCTTAGGTTCTTCGACCTATATCTAAGTACTATAGAATATAGATCTAGCGAAGTAGTTATATAAGGTAATAAGCCCTTTTACTATAGCGTTAACCTATTTATTAACGCTATTAAAGACTACGCGATAGTAGTACTAGCTAAGGAAGTACGTAAAGGCCTACTATAATATCTAAGAGAAGTAGTAGCTATCTAGTCTATTAGCTAGCTATCCTAGAACTAGCGTAATTAGCTCTACTATAGGCGGGGTATCGAGCGCTAGTACGAGACACTTTATAAGAAGTTTAAGATACTAATAACTAAGGCTCTAGACCTCTTAGATAATATATACTTTAGCTCCGAGAATATAAAAGTAGGACGCTCTATTAGCGAGTATATCTATATAACTATATACTATACTAAGATAGTAGAGTAGATAGTATATAACGCTAATCTACTAGCTACCTATCGATATATAGACGCGCGCTTCTAGTAAGTTATTTAGAAGCCTAATAAGTATATCTTACTCGATACCTTCGTCGAGAAGTATAAGAAGTAAGAGAAGATATAGTAGTAGCTATACCTACTACTACGAGCTACCTTCTCTATACTAGTAACTAGAGGTATATATTCTAACTTTCGTCCGGTTAACTAGCTCTAGGCTCTACGTAACGATTTCGTAACGTATAGCTAGAGTACTAACCCCTTCTATCGTAGCTATCTAAATAGTAATACTACTAATAACGCCTACCTATCTCGACCTAATAACTAGTAGTAGCCTTCTACCTAGAACTAGCGTTACTAAGCTCTATAGTAGTAGTAACCTATAAATAGAGCCGTACTCTAGATATAGTAATACTAGTAGGCTCTAAGTAGGAATTAGAGTAATAGCGCTCTACCTTTTTAATAGAATAATACTAGCTAGGTATCCCTACTAAGTAATAAATTAATAATAATAGTCTCTTATAAAACGCTAGAGAATAGCTACTAGTAGGGGGTTTTAAGAACCGTAAGTTTAGCGAATAGAGCGGCTAGAATTAAGGTAGCCGACTAGGTAGCTACTTCGCCTAGTTAGAAGAGTAGAGTAATAGCTAGTATAATAGCTATAAGTAGGACTCTTATATTAAGGACTAGGATAGCTACTATAGTATAGATAGCTACTAGCCTAGTTATTACGACCCGATTAGCTACTCTAATAAACCCTATTAGTAAGCCTACTCTAATAGTAGGGACGAGCTAGTAGCCTACTTCGTAGTAGCTTCTCTAATATTCCTATAGTCTATAATAGGTCTAGATAATAGGCTATCTCTACCGAGTTCCTTATAGCCCTATACGTTAGCTACGAAACGTAAATATAGAGACTATAGCTATAAGTTCGCTACTCGCTTAATACTTTATACGTACCTATAGTATAACTATTAGTACCCCGATAAGAGCGATTCGGATATAATAGCTAATCTAGTCTTATCTACTACTACTAATACGGCTAAGAGTAGCTACGCCTTCCGTATATAG